CTTAAAGACCCAAAAAAATTCTACCCCAAAACTCCTAGATACCATAAACAGTAGAGCAAGGTGGCAGGATACAAAATCAACTCACAAAAATCATTAGCTTTCTATACACCTACAACAGAGAATTTCAGAAAACATATATGGAAAAAAATCCATTTTCAAAGGCCTCAAAAAAAATCAAATACCTAGGAAAACTTAACAAAGGATGTGAATGATCTCTACAAGGAGAAATACAAACCCCTGAAGAAAGAGATCAATGAAGATGACAGAATGTGGAAAGATCTACCATGCTCATGGGTTGGTAGAATCAACATAGCAAAAGTGGCTACACTACCAAAAGCAATCTACATTTTTAATGCAATTCCCATCAAAATTCCAATGGCATTCATCACAGAGATTGAAAAATCTACCGTAAGATTCATTTGGAAACACAAGAGACCTCAAATGGCCAAGGCAATATTCAGCAAAAAGAGCAGTGTTGGAGGGATCACAATACCTGACTTCAAACTATATTACAAAGCAATAGCAATAAAAACAGCACAGTATTGTCAAAAAGAAAAAACAGACATGAAGGCCAGTGGAACGGAATAGAGGACCCAGATATGAATACACAGCTATGCCCACCTTATTTTTGACAAAGGTGCCAAAACATATGACAGAGAAAATACAGCATCTTCAACAAGTGTTCCTGGAAAAAGTGGTTATCTGCCTGCAAAAAACTGAAACTAAATCTATGTTTATCACCCTATACTACTATCAACTCAAAATGGATCATGGACCTTAATATCATATTCAAAACTCTGAAGCTAGTACAGAAAGGAGCAGGGAATACTCTGAAAGCAATAGGTATAGGCAAGGACTTCCTCAGCAGAATGCCAGCAGCTGAGCAACTAAGAGAAAGGATGGACAAATGGGACTTCATAAAACTAATTAGCCTCTGTACAACAAAAGAAATGGTCTCTAAACTGAAGAGACCACCCACAGAGTGGAAGAAAATATTTTCCAGATATACATCAGACAAAGGACTGATAACCAAAATATATAGGGAACTCAAAAAACTAAACTCTCCCCAAATCAGTGAACCAATAAGGAAATAGGCAACTGAACTAAACAAAACTTTTTCAAAAGAAGAAATTCAAATGGCCAAAAAACACATGAAAGAATGCTCACCATCTCTGGCCATAAAAGAAATGGAAATCAAAACCACACTAAGATTCCACCTCACCCCTGTTAGAATAGCTATCACCAAAAGCACCACCAACCAACAGGTGTTGGCGAAGATGTGGGAACAAAAGGAACCCTCATACACTGCTGGTGGGAATGAAAGTTAGTGCAACCACTCTGGAAAACAATATGGAGGGTTCTTAAAAAACTAACATAGATCTGCCATACAATCCAGCAATCCCACTCCTAGGGATATACCCAAAGGAATGTGACTCAGGTTATTCCAGAGGCACCTGCACACCCTGTTTATTGCAGCACTATTCACAATAGCCAAGTTATGGAAATAGCCGAGATGCCCCACTACTGATGAATGGATTAAGAAAAAGTGGTATCTATACACAATGGAGTTTTACTCAGCCATGAAAAATGAAATCTTATCATTCACAAGTAAACAGATGGAACTGGAAAACATCATCCTGAGCGAGGTTAGCCAGGCTCAGAAAACCAAAAATCATATGTTTTCCCTCATATGTGGACTTTAGATTAGGGAAAAGGCAGTAATGTTGTTGGACTTGTGTCACAGGCTAAGGGAACAGCACATGTGGAAGGAATGGGGATAGGTAGAAAACCCAAAACATGAAAGTGTTTAATGTCCCCACCGCAGAGAGCTAATACAGTAACCTTCAAGTGACAGAGGTCAATATGGGAAGGTGGACAGGAAGTAGTGAAGAGGTCAGGTAGAGATGAATCAGTTCGGGTTGTAATACACTTGTGCATGGAAGCAATGCTAGGAATCTCTCTATATAGTTATCCTTTTCTCAACTATCAAAAATGCTATGTCTTTCTTATTATTGCATATGTCCTTTCTTCAACAAAATTGGAGAAAAGGGCTGAACATTTTCTGCCTGAAAGCAAGGGGTTTTGTGGGGGAGAGGATAGGGGGTGAAAAATGATACAAACAATGTATGAATAAATGAATAGAGAAAAAAATGAAATTTATTAAAACTTAATTTAAGAGAAAAATATTTTAAATCAGTGTAGTTCAATTTTTCATTCAATAATTCATACACATATTATTTCTGACATTCTACCACACATTCATTACACTGTTCCAAATACACTGATAGCTTATATTATAGAACTTATTTCTACTGTGATTGGTATTACAAACACAAGGGTCATACTTTATACTTTTCATAAATGCTTTAAGAATAAGGGAATTAGCATCTGATTTGAGAAAATTTCTTGGTTTAAGGAACATATGCCCAACAGTTAAATGTCTATTCTAATGGTAGGTGACTCATTTATTTACTACCTGAAGTGACTTTTCTTTGCGAGAGTTTTTTCATGGCAGTTGTTATATCTGAATTTTTAGGGTTTGTCATGGATGTTATGACATTCATATTATATAAATGTACAAATAGTATGTATTATTTGAATAAGGTATAATGCATATGGTACATCAGACTGGGGAAAAGCCTGGAATTTAAAAAAATGTGTTGAACTGGGTGCAATAGCTCAAGTGGTAGAGTACTTGCCTACCATGTGTGAAGCCCTGAGTTCAGTCCTTAGTACTGAAAATTAAGTATTGAAAATGTTTTGAGAACAACAGAAAACAACTTCTATGATTGTGAGAAAGCAATTTTCCCAACGAAAATGGCTAAAAGTTATACTGTGTTTTCTCCACAACAGAATGCTAAGTGAGGTAATGCATGTATAAATCGGCTAAATTGAACTACTCTATTATGAGTACATGCATCAAAATAGCATGTGAATGTAATAAATATGAACAGTTTTGTTGAACAATTATGTATATTTAAAATAACTAAAAATAAAGTTAAATCATACAGATGTTCTTATTCATTATGATAAGTGAAAACAGTGTATAAAAAACATGACACAAATAAAGAAGACATTGTGACCCATATAAAAATATGAATTACTGCACATGCTCCTAAAGAACTCCAACAATTCAATGGTAATTGGAAAACAACACATAAAAGTTTGGCAAAAGAGATAGATATTTCATATAAAATTGTAAGAACTAGATGCCTAATCATCATGTCAATATGCTCAACTTTCAGTAGCAATAAGGAAAATCAAACTCAGAGCATCTAACAGTCTTGTGCTCACCATTCCAATCACAAATATATCAACATCCTCACCAAGTGTTGGTGAGGATGTAGAGCCATGGAACTGTAATTCACTGCTGGTGGAAGAGCATCTTAAAATACAGCATTAGGAGAATGCAATCATCTGTATCAGGGAATATATAAACATCCTAATTAACATAAAATCTAAGTTATATATTTTATGACTACTTATACTTGTAGTTAAACTTTTTAAACTATGACTTTAAGAAGTTTAGCATTAGGATTACCTTAGGGCAAAGATATGGGAATGCATCACAAATGTACATACAAATAGTTTCAATGATTTTGATAATATTCTAGGTTATAGGAGACAAAATTTTAAACAAATTGCACATAGTATTGGATGTAACTAAAAATTATTTTAACATTTCAAAATAACAGAAGTTTTAAAATATATTTTTAGTCATAAAAGTAAACTTCTTTTATATCAGATCTCTAGACTTACTCATCTGACACATCTGCATCTGCTACTTTGTATCCTCTGGATAACAGGCAACTGTAAGAACATTGTGTGTATTGGGAGCTGATGACAAATAAATAGACTTTAGCTGCTCTTCCAACAAAGACAAAAATATGGGTATCTACGTGATGAGTAAATTTGTTCACTTTAGTAAAAATTTTATTATTTACAGATTTCACATACCATAGTGATGTACACCTTAAATGTGAATGGTAAAATTTACTTCAAAATTTGTACAAAGAAAACCACTATGAAACATAGGTGCTGGTTCCATATTGCAATGAAAGGAACTTTTTATCTTCTTGGAACATCCCAGATGTTCCAAGATGGCAACATATTTACAAAACTTCCTTTTTAGATAAGATCAAACAACATCTTGATTATACCAAAATGCATTCTTTTAAGTCTATAAAATATTCAAATTGAATACAACGTCCTAAGGAACATGATGCTTACCTAAAATAACACTTCCTTTACCTATTTCTTCTACATCAGGAAATCCAAAATAGAAATACCTACTCTTTGAAACTGGCAAATTTGCACATGCTGAGTACCGAGAAGTTATATAAAATATGCATATAAGTCAGCTTAGTATGACCTTCTAAAAACAAGTATCTATCCCATCACCAAGATCTAGAAACTGGTTTCATCGTCAAAACACTTTGCACCTAACAAACCTGTTCAATGACAGTGTCATTACTTGGAAACAATATCATACAGCATCCAAGTACCCTTAATGTAGACATTGCCAGAGAAGTGGTAGTAATCCTAAAACAAAGTTCAAAATGCAGGTACATAGATTTGCTTTATTAAGGGAATAATGGCCAATCTCAATTCAAAACCTCTTTTATAAAACTAAGAAATTTATCATGTAGCTGGATTCAATTCTCATAAATGTGGTTGATCAGAAATTTCCAAAATAATCTTTTATCTAATTGGTTGCAAACAATAAGTCATTTTTTTCTAAGTTTCAATCCAATCTTAACTGAGAAAGATAAAGTTACAAGATTTGCTCCATTTTTTACTTATAATAAAACAAACCTTTTGCCTTTTCTTCTTCGACCAGAAATTTTGTATAACATTGATTCTAACCACAAAGGATAATTTATTCTGATTCTTTGATAGCTTTGAATATAGATAATCCATTAGTCAGAATACATTGAGTAGACTACATCATCCTTTGCTAAAATTTGCTGACTATATTTGCTTTAGAGTTGGTATTCTATTCAGTGTGGAGGCATTCTTATTCTATCTATACTTAACATTTTACACCAGAGTTTTGCCATACAATTTTTCATCTCTGAATTTCTCAAGGTGTATATTAAAGGATTTAACATAGGAGTAATAATTGTATAAAAAATGGTCACAAATTTATCAATTGGAAAGTTGGAAACAGGTCTAACATACATAAAAATACAGGGAACAAAAAAGAAGACAACAACAGTGATGTGTGAGCTGCAGGTTGACAGGGCTTTGCGCCTCCTTTCCTGACTGTGAGTCTTAAGAGAGTTTAAGATAATTCCATAGGAGATTAGGAGAAGGATAAAGACCAACATACAGATTGCCCCACCATTAGCAACCACCGTGAGGCCAATGAAATAGGTGTCAGTGCATGCAAGTTTTAGTAATGGGTACATGTCACAGATGAAGTGGTCAATGACATTGGGACCACAGAAAGGGAGACTATACACAAAAACAAGCTGAATCACAGAGTGTACAAAACCTCCAGCCCAGGCCAACAACAACAGGAGGATACAAACCTTTCTATTCATGATAGTCAAATAATGCAATGGCTTACAGATGGCCACATAGCGATCGTAGGCCATCATCACCAGAAGGAAGATCTCAGCACCACCAAAGAAATGGCCTATAAAGAGTTGGCCCATACAAGCTGAAAAGGAAATGTTCTTGTTCTCAGAGAGCAAGTCTATAATCATCCTGGGTGAAACAGAAGTGGAAAAAACAGCATCCATGAGTGACAGATAGGCAAGGAAGAAGTACATTGGGGAGCCCAAAGAGGGGCTGGCAATGACAGTCACCACAATGAGCAGGTTCCCCACCATTGTCACAATGTAGCTAAATAAAAACAGGACAAATAATGCTTTCTGTCCATCAGGATTCTGAGTGAGTCCCAGGAAGACAAATTCTGTGACATTGTTTCTCTGTCCCATTTACTCTTCTCTCATGATTGCTTCAGAGATGAGAGCTTAGGAGAGCAGAACCTGCAATGAAACTGTGAACAAGAGTAGGGTATCTTAAGTTAAGGATCACATCATCATTGCATCTTCTACATAGTGAACCCACACCAAATATTTCATTAACATCTTCTGAGTTAAATAGAAGTGTTTTGAATAATTATATTTAATTATTCAGTGAGCTAAATAGAAGTGTTCCAGTGAGCTAAATAGAAGTGTTTTGAATAATTATATTTCCCATGGATTTTCTGTTTAGCTTACAGGTACAAGGTTCTATGTCTAGCTCTCAGTGAATCTCATAGAGAAGAATAGTCAAAGGTATTTCACTGATTCATACATTTAAAACAGTTTACTCAAAATGTGTTACAGATGTCAGCAAATACAGGGACTATATTTCTCCTTTTAGGAAATCTATTATATAATTTTGACAATAAACCCTAAATATATCAACTAACACAGATTCAGTCCTTCAACTTCTTGTATTTGTGGAGAGTCAGTTTATGTCTATAATACCAAAAATAGTACCTGTCCTGTAGTGTCTTTTTCAATCCTATGCCCTGAACTGTTACATGTATGTTCTACATGTTTCTAAGGATTTTCAGTCTTCATATGCCTCTTATTAAATCTCAAATCTGGATTTTAAACTGTATCAGATAACTCCAATATTAGCACATTGTTGCTGGTAACAATTAGTTCATCTGACTCTAACTCTCACCTTCTTTAGGAGCTATAATTCTCTCCATTTTATCTGAGCCTACATCAATTTATAACACACTTACATTCACTATTATGATTTTTAGCAAATATTTTAAGCTTATCTGAACTCTCCTTGACTGTCATCAACTGCTAAATCAGCAACTAGTAAACTTTTTATTGAAGAATATAGAAAGTGACAAAAGAAATAGAAAACAGTGGACCTTGGTTTTACACATGAGGCATTCTAGATATAAAGAGTGTTCAAAATAGAACTACCATGTCTAGATTCCAAAAAGTAGCATATTCAAGTGAAAAGGCATAGATTTGGGTCATTTTCTAAAAATGTAATTACAAATGTCAGCTTCCACTTTGTAAATAAATGCAAACTGGATATCAATCCTTTCCAGCCCACCTATCTGCCACACTATTCATTAAGACTTACCTTTTTATACTGTGGACATTTTTTCTTTTTTCACATTTTTGACATTCAAACAACAATTTCCAAGCTTATTACTGTTTCTTTAAAATGCTATCCACTGGGGTTAGGGGTGTGGCTCAAGTGGTAGAACACCTGCCTAGCAAACTTGAGGCCCTGAGTTCAAATCCCAGTGCTGCTAAAAAAGTGCTATCCTTTGATAAAGGGTAACTACTGTGAGCAAATAATGGCTCTTTAGTTTTTAATCCAGAGTTTACAGAGATAAGATTCAAGACATTCTTGGATAGATTGTAGTACAGTGGTGAATAATGTCACACTAGACGTATAAGACTTGTGTTGTAATCCCAGATTCATTTACTTACTATCTGTGTGGACTTGGGCAACTTAATAAACTTCCCTGTGTTTCAATATCATCAGTTTTTACATGACTACATTATTTTACATAACATCTGCCTTCTAGGGTTATTTATTTATTTTTTGGTTGTTAAATGAAAAATACTCTAACTTCTCAACACATGATAAAATATAAATAAATAATATCTGTTATCAAAATTATCAAGTGTTTCAGCCCAAGAACATTATAATTGTGAGCATTGGATCAGAATAAATCATGATCTCTGTCAATATAGAATTATAGGATATAAAGAATAGTATTTTTTAACTCATGAGCCCCTTTTTGAACATAGGACAAAATTGCATGTCTTAAAAGGGAAGAGAAATAACCCAAACATTGTATGCACATATGAATAAAAGAAAATTTTTTAAAAGTCGTCTATTTTATTATATATAAATACTAGCAATACTTATGTAAAAAAGAATATGTTTTGGTTATAAAAAAGCAAGAAAATCCCATTTGCATTGACTTCTTTGTGGAGAAGGATAAAGAGTTTGCGTTTTCTTCTGGAGCCAACTGTGATGAACCTTCCACATGTCTCATTCACAGTATTGATTCCATCTGACTATGGAGTTGTCATTCTTAAAACCATAAACTGATTAGTGCACAACTTTTATAGTACATAAGAGTATAAAGTAGTTTGTGTCCAATTCTGTCTCTTTCACATCTTACTTTCTGCATGTCTTAGTATATTTATTCTCATTAATTGTCAATCCAGAGTTGCACCAGAACAAATCTTCCATAGAATATTTTAATTATTATATTACAGAGTAAAAATACCCTGCTTCGACTGCTCCATACTTAAACCTATGAGAGCTACATGATAGGACATAAAAGCATTGATAAAATAGAAACTGAAGAATAGTACAACTGCTTTCAACTAATCCATTAATTTCGCACTTTTCTATAAAAATAATTTAATAGAGTTTTAAAGAACACAACTTTTAGAAAAGATAGTCCTGTAACTTCAAAAATATACTATGTATTACTTTATAAAAAGAAATTAATAAATCAAACTGACAATGAGGTACTTTTCAGATCAAGTGTTTCTTGATGTATACATACTAACCTATTATCTGGGATGATTTTAAGATTCCCTTATGAAAATTTCAGAACATAATAGACATGTGTTCCCTTATCCTCTAAACACTTGAGATGATATGTGGTTTTAAATTCTCTAGTTCAAAATATATCTAAAATATTTATATTTCTTCATTAACATAACAGCTAAATAATAATACAAAGTAATAAACACTGGATTATTTGTTATTCATATCACATGTATCACTTGTTATTTGGCAAAATGGATAAATACTGTTCCAGCTATAACACTTAAACAAAACATGATTTGTATGGTCTTATTAAATTCTGTGTGTTTTTCACAAAGAAATTTAGTCTTCCTATTTCAGATACTTTTTTGGAAATATGTGACCTTTGATATGTAGCAGTATTTCAGTATTTCACAGCAATATTCAAATAATACCACTTGTCAATTATTTCGTGAACTTACAATTTGAGTGAGAAAATCAAAGGTTTTATTACTGAGGGTGATTGCACATACTCTATGTACCTATTTGTCTTCCTGGAGCACACGTTAAGGTATGGCTAATAAGGTAAAACTTAGAAAGAGCACCAATTGGCCACAGAAAGCATATTTACACACAGGCTTTCCACCATCTCATACCTTCACAGAAGCATAAGTGCATCCAAGTAAATACATAAAATATAAAGGCATTTACATATAATGACAATACATACTATACAATGTAGTTGAATATTCTTACCTGCTAAGATGGCTTCATAGAAAAACAAAGACACTATTGGACACAACTATGTTAAAAATTGACCTATGTATTACAAACTAATTTGGACAAACTCTTTTTTATTCCTGGTGAAAGGAATAAAAAATTAACAGTACTAAAAGTAGTTATGTAAGCTTTTCCTCTTTTCATTCAATCAAGGTGAAACAACCAAGAATGGCTTTGCTTTAAGTATTCACAATAACATTCATTTGTCTAGATAACAAGTCATGGACCTATCCAGACAAAGCTGGGATTTCATTTCTTGGAAAAGCTGGTTGTAGAGCTCTCTCACAAGTAGAAGCAGAACTCTTCAGAGTGTCCAGTCATTCAAACAACATCTTCCTAATTAAAAGCATGTCCTTATACTTTCTACATCTCCTGTGATGAAATTGAGACCTTCTAAAAACTCTAATAGGCAATGATTAATACAGCAAGAAAACTTGACTCCTTGAGTTAAAAAATACCAGCTAAAGAGCTATTCTAGCTTGAGTAGAATTTGAGTTTTCAGAAATATCTTGGGTCATTCTACCCAAAAAATAATTCTTCCATTTATATATACAGATATAGTCTGTGATGTTTTTGCATCATCTCTGTCTCATACATTATTTTGTTAGGATATTTGGAATAAATTCAAATCAAGTAAACTTCCTAAACAAGTTTCTCCCTTTAAACAGTCTCTAGAGGCAAAAGACTAAGATCTTGCCAAAAATGGGCAGCTGAGTGCCAAGTGATATGAAAATTCTATAATGTGAAAAGAAAATTTTCGACCTATAATGATCAATAAAGTATAAATTTCAAATTATGAAATCTGTAGGTAAGGAAAGTAATTTTAAATCACCATGGAGGAAGAAGCAGTCCCAGACCCCATAACTAAACAAAGGACAGCCTGACTCTGACTGTGAGAGGGAGTTGGTCCAAGAAGCTCTGAGGCTCAGAGGGAGAGAACTTGGACTGGAGAATCATTGTAGTTGACACAAATGACAGGAAATCATAGTTGTTCACTTTAGTAGAAGTGGAGACTGAATCAAGGCCTTAATCTGTGTGAGACAGAACCATACAGATCCTCATTCTGTTAATTCAACCCCTTAATTTTTTGTCCAATATTAATTCGATAACTGGTTCTACAAGAAATTAATAGTTATTTTTTAAAAGAAGCAAATAGTGCTAAGGGCTTCAACTGTTACTCTCTTAGCTTGGATTGTCTTTGGCTGTACTGAACATTGGACCTTCTCTGTCACAAATGCTTTAGATACCGGGTCACATATACACCTGGCAGAATCACCTAAAAATCTTTACTAGGCACTGAGTTTCCCTGTAAGTTGTAAGTTTTCTACTTACATAACTAATTAAATCCAGTAACGTCGAATGTAATATTTATTACTTCAAAGATAAAGGACATATCTCAGCACTGTGTCTGTCGTATTGGTAAGTGGTAAAAGACACACATATGTATCTTTAAATTTGAAGAGCCATCTGATAAGATCAAATATCTGTGGGTTACAGCATTGTTTACACAGCGAATTTATATATGCTATGGAACCTGTCTGTGTCCTTTCAATCTGAGTTCAGAGATATACTAATGCTTCTGATATCTGAATGAGATAAACGAACTTATTTTGTCAGACAATGCCTTACAAAGCCCAAAATC